TGTGTGTAAAATTCTTAGACTCATCAGACAGTATAGACAGATCATGACAGTACAGACCACTGAAGATGTTTTTAGTCACAGCCCACTCTGTACGGCTGGGAGATGCAGCCTCAGTTTAATTAGCACACATCTCTTCAGTTCAGACTCCTTGCAAAACTTCTTGAAGATTGTGTGCTCCCTTGTCATAGAGGAAGGAGGTAGCCCCCAGGAACTAGCCTCAGCCCTGACCCTAGCCACACAGTAGGCAGATTAAATTAGTGACTCCCACATCATCTGGGCCTTCCCCTGGTTTCCTGCTGTCTACTGGGACTGGCAGGCATGTGCAGAGCACAGCATGAGATCCTGCCTCCGGCCCCGTCTAACTCTGGCAGCAGGGAGGGCCAGGGTCCCTAGTCAGGGGAAGCAGTTGAGAAGCAACAGTTCTGACCCCACTGATTTCATCATCAGCTCTTGAAAAGGGTGCTGAGGGTGTGGGCTCTGGTGGCCTATCCTGGCGCCTAAGGAAGGTTTAATTCAGGAGTGAGTAGATTCGCATTGTTTTCTTTTTACTTGAAATTGTCTAGCCCACGAACAGATTCCTCACTGTTAGCCTTGTTGTGCTTTAGGTATTTTGTTTTCGGTGAATGCTCTATTTAACAACTTCTGTTGCATCCTCTGTTAATTGGGATATATCATCATTCTTTATCAACCGTAGGGCCTATTTTCTCTTCCCTGAAATGTCCTTTACACATCGTCTGGTTAACATTGGATTTCTTCGAGAATGAACGCAGACATTGCTTCATCTGAAACATCTTCCCCAGCATGTCCTTCCTCCATCTGTATTTGGTGTCTCTTCTTTGAGTTCTCACCCTACAGCTCTTAGCACACCTCTTACCATGCTGTGGGAAATGGTTGCTGTATCTGTCCCTCCTGCCACACTGCAAGATCCATCACAATAAGAACGCCTTCTCCTCCTCTTCCCAGCATCTAACATATAGCGTCTGGTAAAAACAGAAACACGTGAATAAACCAGCAGTCATACTGGGTCAAATCATTGAAACAATTTCTGTTACAGGGAAAGAATTCTCTTTTCCATCCTTATAACCTGAAACTTTACGCTGGAATGTCCACTCTTTCATAATAACTTCGCTACTGAAGAAATCTCCCAAAGTTAGTGGAGCCAGAAGATTTTGAGGAAGCGAAACAGTATTATGAGAACAACTCCTCCCACCCATTTTTTGTCATCCTTGACATTTACATCTTGTGTGATCAGAAATCTGTAACTCAAATGAACTGTTCATGGTAATGAGCCATTATTAATACAGTTCTGATTGAACACCTTTCTCTAAGAAGGTCACAGTGCTTTGCATACATTATCTAGCTTGTCTTCAGAACATACCTGAAGTGGGGTGACCACCTATTCAGAATTCACCATGGTCTGACAGTCCACAGCTCCGTGAAGTTGATTTTTCCCCTGCTGAGCCCAGGAAAGACCAAAACGAAGTTCAAGTCTACAGTGGCAGTAGCTCAGTTTTACCACTACCACTGCTGTTTTGCCGAGCCTTCTGTGGAGTCTTAGAGCAGCACAAGCTAATTCTCTCAGCAGCTGCACGAACACTGAGAGTCCAGTCTTAGTGTAATACGAGTCATAAAGCTACAGAGATCAAGTCTTACGGGAGTTAGGGGGAAGGGAAGATTACTTTCCCCTAAGGGGATATTGCAGGTGCCTTCAAATGAGTATGTGTCTGTTGCCTTTAGTGAGTGAAGCATGCTGTTCTTAATTAAAGGCTTATATGGCCAAGGTCCCACATTGGACATTTTATGGAGAAGCAGTGTGGTTTAGGGAAGGTGTCATGGGATTAAGAGTAGGGATATCATATTTTTGTAATCCCAGCTCTTGTCAATCACCTGTGTCCATTCAGTCACTTATTCCCTTCAGACTTGTCAGCCAAGAGCACTGACTGCACAATTTCCAGGTCTCTTTACAGATTTAGAGTAGAGGGGTTCTGTTTTTGCTGCTCCCAGATTTCTACCTCCCACCCTCCATGTATTTCACAGATGACAGATGCATCTGAATGCTCTCGGGCTCTATTTGTGCTCCTCTTCTGTTTGTCCCTGCTTTTATGTAGATGCACATCAACCACCATGATGGACTGCATGCTCCCTGCGGGCAGGAGCCATGTTCATTTCATTTTTGTGTCCCATGCATAATGTAGGTCGGCTCACCTTGTCTCTCCTATATCTTGAACCTGTGAATCTTATCAGACTCTTTTCAGCAGATGAACCTGTACAAGTCTTTCCTGTCTTGAAAGGACAGATGCCACCCCCTGATCCTCCACTGAGTTTCCTATTAAACCGCTGTGCAGGTGATCTCAAAATAGAAGTCCTCATTCACCATATCCACTGTTGTTCTATTTCCCCCTCCACTTCCTGTGACCTGGTGTTCTCTGCCACTCCACAGAACCTACTTCTGATAAATTCCCTGAAGAATTTTTTATTGCCAAATCCAAATTATTTGTCCCCTCACAGCCGTTGCTCTGGCTGACCGCTCCCTCATTCTTGAAACTCTTTTCCCCTCATGGCTCCCATGGGACCAGCTACTCCTGCAGCTTCCTCTACCCTTTGCTCTGCCCTCCTTGAACTCCTCTTTCCTGGTATTCTGTGCAGTTCTGTCCTTGTCTCTCGGCTCTTTACATGCCTCATTCCCTCACTGACAGCTTCACACATACCTGTGGCTTCACTACCATGCTCAGGAACATTCTCTGTGGCCCTGTACCCTCTCTGAAGCCTGAGCCCCTTGATTACAACTTCATTCTGCATCCCAGTCACATCAAACTTAGCATGTCCGGACCTGCACCCTTTAGCTGCCTCTGAAACTCCTTGCTTGCGTTTTCCCTGTTTGGGCAGTCATCCCACAGTCCACCTGGTGTACACATCTGGAGTTCCCCTTCTCCATTATCCCCACGACCAGCCAGTAGCCATGAAGTTCAGCCTCCACCAGTTCACCTGGCCTGTGGCAGTAGCCTCCTAACTGTCCTCCCTGCCCATGTCTCCCTTCTGTGATCCACCCCGCATGCTGCAGCCAAAATGGCTTTTCTAGAATTTCCATCTTGTTGCCTTTGCTACTTAAATTTTCTGTACCTGACCAGGTACTTTCAGACAAAATTTCAGTTCCTTAGCTTGCAAGACCCTCTGAGACCTGGGAGTTGCCCACCTCTACAGCCCCTTCCTGTGGTCCTCCATGCTCACATTGAGAGCTTCCTGTGGGAAGGAACTGTCACCCTTCCACTCGCTGGGTCACTGCAGGGCTGTCCCATGGTTTTCACATGCTGGTGCCCCTTGGTTACTGGCACGTCCAGGGATTCAACCCAGATGCCAGCTTGGCTTTCCTCGCCAGGCAGGATTAAGTCCCACACCCCTGGACTCCTGTGCCAAGGTCTGTCCTGCCTCTCCCCACCCTCTTGCTAGGGTGCTTACTGGCTGTGGGCGGCAGCGTCTTTCCTACCCCTGCCACACTGAGCACCTGAAGAGAGCACCTTCTTCACTGGCCTTTGTTCCCAGTCCTTGGCCTAGAGCCTGACACAGGTTATCTGTTTCCTCCATATTTGCTGTACAACCAGATAGATGCATGCTGGGTGGATCACTTGCTCAGAGACTCTGTCCATCTCCCCCAGACAAGTTACTGGTCCTTCTCTCCATTACTCTAGAATAGAGGTCATACTCCTCAGCCCAGCTCATGGCTTTCCACAGTTGACTTGTCCTGCTTTGGAAGAGGCAGCTCGCTTAGCCTCTTTCTTCTCCCTCCTCCTCTATTCTGAAGACCCAGGCAGACATTAGGTGCAGGTGATGCTGACTGCCTGATAATAATTTCCCATGATGAAGGCACCAGAGCCAAGTGCCACCTCCATTTCATTTAAATTAGGTAAAACCCAGAGCTGCGGCTGGCAAGGAATGGACATCCACTGGGGAAATGAAAGATTCAGAGAGAGTAGGACCCATTATAATAAAAGCATTTGTGCCATCAGTGATTCCATCCACCCTGTGGCTTCTGTGTTCCTTGGGGTGTAATGAAATGTGAAGCAGGAGGCCCTTTGGAGGTGGTTTGAGGAATTGATTCTAATTGGAAATGGTGGTGGCATTTTATGATTGGAGCACACTCTGTGGACCAGGCACACCAGGTGTGACCAGCATTTTATGAAGAGCCACGGGACACCCGAGTCCAATGCAGCTCAGGACCTCAGCCCCGCTGTCTCAATTTCTTTCACTCCACTTCTGTCATGTACTGGACATGACTGGAAGGTGGGTGTCTCCCTCCCTTCTGCCCTCCTCCTCTTCATCCTTCTTTTCATTCTTCAGTGGCTCTGTGTTCCTATTCTATATTTGTATTAGCATTTAATAAAAATTATATGCTAGCATTTGAGTCAGTCAACTGCTAGATCTTCAGATTACTCATGAGACCTAAGAAAAACCCATGTACAAACACAGGATGGCCAGAAAAGTCTGCATGATTTAATTTTATAATAATATGGTAACAATAGCTAAGTTGTTTTAAACACATCTTAGCCTCTACTTGTGAAGCACTTTACATGCATTTTCTCATTTAATTCTGACAGCCCTATAATTCAGATGTTAGCTCCATCTCACAGATGAGGAGACTGAAGCTCAGAGAAGTTAAGTCACTTGCCTGAGATTGCATAGCTGTAATAAATGGCAGAAGCAGTATTACCTATAATATAGAGGCAGAAACCATACTGAGTGGCAGAACCAGGTTTGAAACTCAAGTCTGACTGCAGAGCCCAAGCTTTTAAATATGTGCTGTGTTACGGGGCCACGTGACTTAAAAGAGTTTGATTCCTGAAAACATGGGCCTGCTTTTTAACGTAGTTAATATTACCTGGGAGAAGTCTTGTTATTACTTATGTGCCCTTAAAACAGTATCAGAACTCAAATTGCTTCAGATTTCTGAGATTATTTTTACAGTTGTTCAATCTGCCTTTACTTTCTCACTTTTGTGTTTTTAGATGCATCATCCCATTCAGATGAAACCTGCAGATAGTGAAAAGTCAAACGGTACGTGGTAACCAACTGTCTTGTTTAATAATATCTGCTTCTTTAAATGAAAAAGTCAGATGGGGGTGGGAGGAGGCGGCCCGGCTGCTTTTCTCTCTAGAAGAGAAAGCGCTCCAGGAACCTTAGCTGTGGCTCATGTGTCTAGAGGAATGCAGTCTCCACTGTCCTGTCTCGTTGATCTCTGGGGTAGAGATTATGAGGCTGTTAGGAGCAGTGGCTTTCTGTGTCCTTCTCTTTGGGACTTGCCCTGTATAGTGGTCCTGTGGCATTTGGCTCCTGTCTCCTCCAATAAAGCAATATGGGGCCATCTCATGGGGATGCAGAGGATGTCAGCAAGAAAGGAACTGCCAGTGAAGACTTAGGCTGTCTTTCTGGGAGATTTTGGTTGTTGGTTTTTTACCTTTTCCATGTGTTTCTCTTGGACTTGGAGGCTGCCTTATTGTACTCTTCTCCAAATTGCACCGATACATTTACATTAGAATTCAGAGTTTAGTCTGCTGATGAAATAAACGTACACTTGGGGCAAAAATATGCATTTGATGAGGTCCATGAAATAATTCGGTTTTGCCTCTTCAAGACACGAGAGAGTTGATAGCCACATTTCCCTCTTTAATTTTTTGTTTCATTTCTACAAACCTTCTGTCCCTGTTTTGTTCTTTTAATTTACTGAAATGTATGTTAAAAGAATCTTCTACCATCCTAGACTGGAGAGCTACTCTGTCCCATAAGACTGTCATAATCAGTACTGCTTCCTTCCAACAGGCAGTTTTGCACCTCATTAATTAGTAATCAGGGCAGAAGCCATGCACTCAGAGATCTACATATCTGCAAATGTAAATTATGATTGGGCTCTAGATCTCGCCACATGGTATTTTTTGCTAATTGTAGTGCATTCCATTTTCCGGCTTCTCTACAGACTAGAAAGTTTTGAAGAAAATTCCAAATCATAGTGTGGTGCTCCCTGCACCCGGCTTACCAAAGCTTGCTTCTCTCAGCTCTTAGCAGAACACAGTGGCCCCGGCCTGTAGTCAAAGCTGCCCAGGAGGCTGAGGCAGGAGGATCCCTTAAGCCCAGCAGTTCAAGGCCGGCCTGGGCAACATACATATATAAAGAAAGAACACAAAATTTTTAACAAAGCTTTTCCCTCTCTCTACCAGGAGACTTTGGTGCTTTAACCACTGTCTTCTCCTTAGCCCTGCACTTTACTTAGGGGTAATTCCTATTTTCTCTACTGCTTTATCACAAACTTGACTCTTAGCACCAGAAGTTGTCAAATCCGCTGCTGCTGTGTGGGCCCATGACTGAGCCACGTTGCTCCTACATTCACCAGTGCTTAATGCATCAGTTACTGTGTGCCAGGCATGTTGCTAGGGGCTGGGGCTGCGCAGCGAGCAAGAAAAGAAAGAAGAAAAGAACCCATGTCTCTGACCTTCTGGAACTAATGTTCAGTCTACTAATTTAAGTATCTGGAAGTCACTTAAACACTGAACTTGAATCTCCGCATTTGTAAAATGGGATTAATGGTGACTGTCACACCTCAGTTGGCTTTCCCCCAGCCCAGGACTCAAATAAGGTATTTGTAACAATCTCTTTAATGATAGAACACTTGTATAAAATGCTGATTACTGTTTACACCCAGAGGTGGTCTCCCAGCCTCTGCGGGCACTTCATAGAGCCTACTGGCCTGGGAAAAAGACCGCTTCACCCAGGCTGGCTCCTTTCTGCCCTTGTGCACTGGAGGTGCATCCTTGCAGTCTGATCAGTTCCTCAGTGGGAGAGAGGAGAGGTGAATCTTCTATTTTGGGACGAATCCTGTTGGTACAAGGCACCTCACAGAGTGTGTGGCCACCAAGAAATGCTCCCTGTCTTTGGCATAATTCTCTAAACTGTGTCAGGACAAGGACCATGGAGTGAAAGTCTGTGGAAAGGGTTTGTCTCACTTCTGAAACTTTGGCTGTAGTTATAAAAACATGACAAATTAGCCAAATGGAAAACATTTGACTTGAAATATCCAGTATTGAAACACAAAGGGATATTTTTCTTTTGCATTTTCTGCTGTGCAGATATTCATCTGCCTTAGAGAACTCCAGGCAGCTGCCAGGAGTTTGCAGTGTTTTGCTGTTCTTTCTGTCCAGTGTTCACTCTGGCCCCTGAGGATCATGTTTGCTTTCAGTCTAGAATCACAGCAAATAATAAAACTGTCATGGACACTCCCAACTTTGCATGATGACAAAAGCCAAGGAGGATCAGGCACCGTTATTTCTAGGATGAGACGGTTACCTAAAAATGCTGTTTTCCAAGCAGCAGCCTGGAGTAGCAGTTAAGAACTATTGACCGGGTGCGGTGGCTCATGCCTGTAATCCAGTACTTTGGGAGGCCGAGGCGGATGGATCACGAGGTCAAGAGATCGAGACCATCCTGGTCAACATGGTGAAACCCCGTCTCTACTAAAGAAAATATAAAAAATTAGCTGGGCATGGTGACGCGTGCCTGTAATCCCAGCTATTCAGGAGGCTGAGGCAGGAGAATTGCCTGAACCCAGGAGGCGGAGGTTGCGGTGAGCCACGATCGCACCATTGCACTCCAGCCTGGGTAACAAAAGCGATACTCCCCTCAAGGGAAAAAAAAAAAAAAAAAAAAACTCTTTGGAGAAGCCTGGATTTGACCCCTGACTCCATGCTGGTTGGTTTTGTCCTTGGGCAGTTATTTAATCTTACTTAGCATCAATGTCTCTTCAGCTGTAAGAGGAGGCTCCAGTGAGTAGTATGAACATTTGTTGTAATGCCCGTCTTACAAAGTTATTTGAGGTTTACATCAGTTAAAATCTGTAAAGCGCTCAGCACAATACCTAGCACATACTAAGTATCCAGTGTGCTAAGTTCCGCCAAGTTATCACCGTTATTCCGACACCTCACTGAGGCAGCCTTTTCAGTGCATTCTGAGGGGCAGAGGCTGTCCTGTCCAGGCGTGGGCTGTTTATACCAAAGCATAGATCTGTATGTACAAATGAAAATCCCCAAGCCTTCTAGTTGGGCCAGTTCTCCTTTTGCTTTGTGCGTGGACCTTCATTTTCTGAACTTTGAGTAAGAAAAGTTCAAAAATATAAATGGACTGAAGGCTGCTTTTAAAGGGCTTTTCTTTCTAGAGGCCCAAATGGAACCTCACCTTGCATAGACAGGAACAGCTTTGAGGTTCTCTTTGGACCTGATTTGAGGAAGCAGGAGAAGTGTGTAATTTTCTAAAGCAAGTGACAAAAGCTGCAAGCCTTTTCTGATTTCACATGGCATTTTTGACAGGTAAGCATAGTTTCAAAAGCTCAGAGAGCACAAAGATTTCTTTGGCTCAGTTGCCCTAAATAGCTCCTGTAGTTTTGAAAGAAGTATAACGAGCTCTAATTGCACTTTTATTGAGTTTGCTGACATTTATGGAGAGCACAAAGGACTCATCACAGTTAGACAGTTACTGTCTTCGTTATCACTGTGTTCAGATTGCTAAAACTTTGTTTTTGCTGAGCAAGAAAGAGCTGCTAATCACGGATTAATTCACGATGGACAGGTGAACTCCAGAAAAGCAGTCACCCATGGTAGCTTTTGTCTATAGAGCCATTCTGAGAAAGGGAACCTCTGGGGTGAGCCCAAAAATGTTAGGTTACGCCCAGGTCAGCCCTGCACTTGGGATTTCACTGGGCAGACCTCCTGAGTCTGTGTGGCTTCCTGGAACCTGCCCTTTCCGTTGGCTGTGATGTGAGCCGCAGCCTCTGGCACACTGATGGAAGCTCGTGGCCTGTGTTTCCCATTCACATGCTCCCGTAGGGCGAGGTTGTCCAAAAGGAAAACAGTCCCATTCTGGAGAAGCAAAAACTGCTGGGGCTGCTAAGAGGAGCACACTGAGCAAACACCTACCTTCCAACAGAATCCACCTTTTTTGTTATTTTCCCACTGCAAAAAGTTAAATGGTGGGACAGGCAGGGTATTTGAAGAGGTGTGGATTTCATGCACCCTCATGAATGAGCAGAAACATAGTTACTCTCTTTCATTCTCTATGCCATCCAGCTTTTAATCCTCTGTTGCTGTGCCCAACAAGGTGCCAGCTATGCGAGATTGAAGGTCACAAGCAGTTGCTGAAGTTTGGCTAGGAGTGAGTGATGCAAACACAGAAGCTGCTTTGGTTCTGGGTCTGGGTCTCAGAGGCTGGGGCTAGTACTCACTCTGATGTCTTGCCTCTTGTCACAAGGGGAGTTGTTTGTTTTTACTCTATGTTCAGAGCATAAATCCATCCATCCTGCTTTAACCCTCCAACCTCACAATTTGCTGGGGGTCCTTAAACCCTAGAATTCAGAAATGCCATTTAAGGCTGCTGTGTGTGTTTCTCTTTGAAGGTCTCCAAAACCTCCAGTGTCCATGTGTCAAGTTCAGAGCTAGCGGGAGTGGAGATAAGTAAATACTGTCAGCAGAGGGTGCAGAGACCTGCAAAGCCTCCTTTAAAAATAGGAATCACGGGGTGGTTCCACCCAGTCACTTTCTGATTCACTGCAAGATGAAGAAATAATTTTGAATTTCAAAGTGGAGAGACTCACAGATTTGGAGGCAGTAATTAAATGCCATATGTTAGCACTAACACATTGAAAAGTTGTTAATTAATTCAGGCAGCCCCAAATCCAGGTGTGACTTTGACAGATTGTACACCAGGGTGTTAGTACAGACTTACAATTAGGAATTTTTTTTTAAATGAAGTTTCTATTCCCCTAACTTAAAAAAGTCACCCCATACATTTAAAGTATTAACCCATTCTTCTCATATCATGGAAGGAAGACTTTAAATGGCGGCCGTTCCACTTTAAATGTGGAACCCCTTTTGATTCTGTGGTCATCGTTACTATTGTTGGGGGACACCATCTGTGCAGCACTTCATATGTAAAAATGTAAAAGCCTTTCCCTGCCCTCATTCAGTGTCTGTCATGGAAAATGACTTTGCCCCTATAGGGTAGGGACCTTACTTTTTAAGTCTTTTTTTTTTTTTTTTTTTACTTCCTTAAAGCACCTAGCAGAATACTCTCAACACAGTATGTTTTATTCAAACAACTGACTTCCGTAGGTTGAAAAAAATAAGTGATGTATGTAGTGCCCAGTGAAAACTCACCAAGACGGTCATCAAAAGTTGATGAAAAAGCCAAGTGAATTCAAGATAACTGTGTTTTTGTAGAATGTTTACAAAGCTGTTAGGGACCCTAAGAATGGGAATTAGGGGAATGAATTGTATGACTAACGTGTCACTGGAAAACCGAAACTCAGAAGAAAGCTGGGTGTGTTTGGTACTCCCCATTTTGCCTTTAAAGCAAACACAGCCCAACTGTTGAAACCACAGAACAACACTGGCTAGTGAGAGAGTCCTGAAGCCCAGCACTTCTGTGCACATGCACAAGTAAGCCCACACACCACACACACACAGACGGAAGTTAACGTTTTGATAACATGGATGATGGAGTTTTCCTTTTTTTTCCTTAGCTAATACTTGCTATTTTTAAAAGTGGGAGTTATCTTTCTTCTTGCTGCCTGGCCAAGGTGACCCTGAGTGATGGCTAGGAAGTCAGCATTTCTTGAGTAGTTTCCATTTTCTTCATATTCATCTTAGAAAAAAATCATTTTTTAGCTTACCCAGGAGCTGCATGTTTAATTTACTATGGCATCCCCCTGAAGCTCGAAGCCTACAAATTGTTTTAGCTAAATACCATAATTATAGGTTTACCAGTGAAACCAAGAACTTAGGGGGAATTTTTCATTTGCTTCTGTTTAAAAGAACTAAAACCAGAGTGTTCAGGGTAAGAAGGAACACAACAGGGTTTTTTTTATTACTCTCATAAAAATGTCAGCCATATTCTGCTAGGGGTAGGAGTCTCAGAGATGAGAGGGAAGGAGGAGTCACGGTGATTTTTTTCCCTATTCTACCCACTTTCCATCCCATCTATCCCCTTCCCCTTCACGGCAATATCGCATTCTTACAGGGTCTCCCCCACCAAAATCCTCCCGTGTTAGTGAGCACTGGCAGTGTAGACAGCCTGTAGCGGGTGGTGTGGACAGCCTGCAGGTGACCTCCTTGTCCAGGATATCTATTGTATGACTGGCATGGTTGTCAGGCCTGTGCTGCCCATGACTGACCAGGTTTCACCAGCTCACAGCGGATCCATGCTACTTTGCTCTCTCTGAACAGAGGAGAAAGAATTTTAATTGAAGTTTTCCGTTGGCATATAGGAGGTCAGGTCCTCAGTAGCCTCCCTCCCAGGAATCGGAGCCCACGGTGCCTGTTACCCATGTCTCCTCTGAGTCTGAACACAGGCAGTGGCTCAGGCCAGCTGATGCTCTCCTCCTTGAGCTCCTTCTGTGCAGCTGAAGCAGAAGAGGCATGCTGTCCTAAGGTCAGGCTGTTTTCCTCCGTCCACCCACACAAGGTCCATGCTACTCCATACTCTGCACCTCGCCTGGTGAGGCCCTCATTCCCCTCCCACCTGTGGTCTCTCCATTCCCTTCATCCAGCTTGAATTCCCCATCTCCCAGCAAGCCTTTCTCAGACACTGGGGTATACAATTCATAGTTGACAAGTATTGTGGAATTGTGCTTTCGACTTGCGTTCCTTGAGCCCTAGAGTTTCTGAGGTGTCCCAGGAGCTGTCACAGTGTAGAGAGAGCTAGGTGGAAGGGATTCTGACCTCCACTCACCGTCCCCCGCCTCGGGAGCTCCAGTCAGCCTGAGTACGTCATGGGCTACCTTCTCTCCATTACTAGGAGAGAGAAGAGTTCAAACCTTCATTCCATGGATGACAAAACAGAGGTCCTCAGAGGTCAGTGTATTCAAGGACACTTATCAAATTAATGGCAGCACCGGACCTACAGCCTTGGTCTCCCACTCACAGCCGCTCTCCCCTGTGAGCCTCCTCTGAACTTGGAGGAGACACAGCAGGGGAAGGGATGCTGGCCTGGGAGGAGGACTCCGGCTGTGGGCCATGCTGGGTGACCCTAGCAGGTCCCTCCCCCACTGGGCCTTGGGAGATCTTTTGGAGACAAACAGAAGCTCCCTTTGGTCTCTACCTTCGGGTCTGGAATTCTGTGAAGAGGAGCCTCTAGCTCTCTCCACTAGGCACTTTAGGGCTGTGCTGTCCCATGTAGCAATCCTTTGGGGCTCTTTAATTAAAATTACATTTTAGAAAGCACTTCCTCAGTCACATCAGTCCCTTTAGGTACTCAGTAGCCACATGTGGCTTCAGCTTCTGTGTCAACAGCTCTGCGGTAGAGGAACCCACCTGGTACCAGTACACCTGCCCCAGCCCCTTCGCAGCTCAGACACGAGCTTGAGTATCCAGAGGGAACTGGCCCCAGTAAGTCTGGGATAAGTGCTCGTTGGTTAAATGAAAATGAGATACTTCCTGACCAGGGTAGGATTAAAAGAAAAGCCAATTAAATAAGAATGACAAGTTGATAACGCAGATTCAAAACAAACATTTATGTGCAAGTGGCTGAAGGCAGAGACCTCCTCTAGGCTGGGACTCTCTTTAGTCTGGTGCAGCTGGCTTTTTTTTTTTTTTTTATTCTAAAAAATAGATTGAAATGAAACGATGGAAAAGCAGCAGGACTTCTCCCCATGGGTGTCTGTGATGTCCTTAAAAGAAAGAAAAAAAAAAAGGCGCCTCTCCTAAAAAAAAGACTCCAAATACCCAAATACTGTCCTAAAATCAGCTTTAACCTTGCCTTTCAGGCCGAAAGTAGTTCACATGTCCTGAGCACATGCACACAGATTTTGAGGAAAGTCTCTCGGGCCATGCAAGGTAGACCTTGCCTTACCTTACCCCCTATCAGGTGCCCAGGTTCAAATTTCATGTCTTCCTCATGATCCCCAAATGCACTTTTGGTCCCCGAGAATCTTGCCTCCCAGTGGTTAGCACAGCACTGTTCCCTCCTTGATCTTTTGTGAAGGGCCAGGCGCTTGGGACCATCTAAGGTATTTCTCCAGCAGCAGCCACCCCATTCTCCTCCCTAGAATTGGCTTCCTATTGAGCTATAATTAACATGGCTGGTTAGAACCAGGTATGGGACCTGGTTAGCACGGAATCACCCATGTCACAGGAAAGAGGTACTTTCCTAGCTCCCCAGAGAAGTGACAATCTCTCTGATCTCTCATTCTTGTCTGGATCAGCAGGGATGAAGCTATCTGAAACAGAAAAAATGTTTTCTTCCCTCGAATGCTTTGTTAAAAGTTTCATTTGCTGTTTCGCTCCATCCACCCTGTTGTCTTTCCTCTCCTGACCTTTCTCTGTCCCTGTCATTCAGGTTAAAAGAATGTCTACAAAAAACCCAGAATAAAATCTGTATCCAAAAATTTCCCCAAGGAATGGTAGTGTTGAGCAGTTATACAATCCTTTGAAATTTTAGTCACCACATTACTATTAGTTTCTGGATAGGAGAGAAGAACTTAACAGCATTCCATGTTGTATTAAAACATTTTATTAATAACAAGTGCACAGGGAGAATGAGGCATTCAGGAAGTGCCAGGTGGGAGGGATCGGCAGGGTGGGGCGCATAGAGGGAGAAGAGTGGCTGGACATCTGCAGAGTGGGCCTTGGGATATGTGCTTGGTCTCACATGGCTGGGGCCTGGTTTGATGGGGTAATGGAGCATTGATTGCAAGAAAAAAGATGAAATGGCCTTTGCTCATTCATTATTTTTATCTCCTAGCTGTGGAAGACAGAAAATTGTTCATAGGAATGGTTTCGAAGAAATGTAATGAGAATGATATCAGGGTGATGTTTTCTCCATTTGGCCAGATAGAAGAATGCCGGATCCTCCGGGGACCTGATGGGCTGAGTCGAGGTGAGTGTGCTGTCTGTAAAGCCTCTCCCCTTAAGTGCTAATTGGAGCCCTGTGTCACAGTCGAGACAGATGTAGGCACCACACACAGCAAGAGGTCACCCTGTAATACATCCCATGTGATAAAGTTATCCAACCTGAACTTTTCACCATAGCTGAAATGATCACCTTTTATTTCTCAAGTTGAGAAGGTCTTGGTGCCACTATATTAGCTCAAGTTATCACTGTCAGGTGCGAAGCCAACAGGCTTCCCTACTGCTAGGTATCCTTTTCAATATCAAATTGAAGTGGATGTCGGGGGGCAAGAAGGAGAGGTAGAAAATGAGAAAGGATATTTGTTGTTTTCATCTTAGTGATCAGGCTTTCTGCTTGTGCCTGAAAGAAATGTTAAGAATATGGTCCTCTTCACAGTGACACAAACCAGGGAAACAGCATCAGTGTTCACACACAGTGCAGTGCAGATAGGAATGTGGGGTGAGTGGGCCTGTCTTGGGGTATTAGAGTTTTATTTCAGAGAGCAAAACTCCTGGAGTCCTGAACCAGGGGAGCTCTTTAAGTGACAGAAAAATGACTTTTCCCTGAAGAAGATTGTAGGCTCTTCTTTGCCACCACAATAGAAGCAAAAGCTGTAGCTGAGAGGCTTGATGATAAGCCAGTATTTTTGCGATCAGCTATACAAAATATTTGGAAATCACCATTCTCTTCCCTGTTGGCCTCTCCCTTGACAATGCTGCACACCTCCTTCCTGAAACCACTCATAAAGGCTGACACTGGAGGTTGACAATTCGTCTGACTGCCGTTACCTGAGTCAGTCCGAGGTGGAAATGTATACATAAAATGTGTTTTTCTCTTCTTGCAAGAAATCCATATTTTTAGCAACATGGAGAAGGTTTTCATTCTTTTATTACTGTAATTACCAGGGCAGTTTCTGTGGGGCAAATGAGGAACTTGGTTTCATTCTCAATCTCTGGCTCTGGGCCAGCACTGACATCCCAGACCACGTGTTGAAAGAAAAGGTCAGGTCATGAGGAAAGCACGAGTTTTCACCCCTCTCACTAGTTGTACCTAACTTCAGTACCATGTGAGGAAGCACATTTGTTCTTTTGATTTTTAAACATAAAGCTTCATGATGTCAGTTGCCAGAATGGAAGGCCTGGAGAACAAAAGTGCCCACCTACAGCCACCTCCAGAGCCCCAGTGTGGAGGTAGTCTAGAAGAAAACAAGGAGGAGGTGGAACCACGCCAAGCTTTTGATTCCTGTGTTTTCTTCTGAAGGTGGTTTAAAAAAAAAAAAAAAGGCGGCATAGAAATCACAGTTTATGCATTCTCTAACAATTCTGAAATTTGTGTTATATAACACTCACTTAAAAGATGTGATTCTCTAAAAGCTGAACAAGCCATTCTATTGAGTGTGATCCTGGATTAGCACATCCAGTACCTGGGGCTCCTCTGCAGCTTTTCACCTGTGCCATCATCAGGGGCAAGCAAAGCCATCCATTGTTGTGATGGACCACACCACCTCTGGCTCCTGAACAGCCTCACCAGCCAAGGGTTGCTAGTATGCCTTCCTAGTGACTCAAACCAGCAGAGCTTCTGATCACACCTGGTCGTCCAGTTCTCCTGCAGTCGTTCTATACATATATATCCACTTAAAGAGAAACTAGGAGAGAGAGTACTGTGGGAAAAAGTGTGGCTAAGCAAAGAATAAAATACGTAGGAAGATATGATAATAGTTTTGTAATCCCTTTTCTGGTGCCAATTTGATAATTAGAATCCCTATTCTGTTGTTAATCACACTTCAGTGTAACCCTTGTAATTTTCATTCTCCAAGGTAAGGAGAAATGGCACAAGGAGAGCCCTTAAATTAATCATGATGAAATATATCATGGCTTAGGGGGTGTTGACCCCAAACTCCAGTCCCACAACTTCTACTGAAATGAAATAGAACTTCAGTAATTTTATTTTCTGACCTCTGTCCTGAGGTTTCCCCATTTATAAATATGTCTGCCCTGCTCCTCTTGCAGGGAGTCACTCGTTACTGGTGTGGTAGCTTTCTGCCTGCGCATACAATCTGCATGGGTTAGTGGAGGGACCCCAGGTAGGCAGTATATGTGCTTGATTTCTGCTCCCCCTCTGCTGGCCTGGATGCTCTAGGCAGTGACTCTCTGGCACACTTTCTCTGTCTGTCCAGTGGGGACAGTAATGAACAGCATTGCTGCCTGCAGCATTCAGAGCTCCTTGAGCATACATCAGTTATTTCTGCAGATCAGGTTTTAAAGCAGCCAGAACCTCCATGGGAAAGATCAGGATACACAGTACTTAACAAGAGAACTTAGCTAATTTGATCTGCCATTTGGTTGATTAACCAGCACTTGACACCAGAAGCAGCCTGTTCCTGCATCAAGTGACAGGGAGCATTCTCATCAATATTTTATGCAAATGCTGGCTCAATATAAAGAGGAGGAAACTCCTCCCTCCCTTTTTTTTTTTTTTTTTAAAAAAAAAAAAGTAATTTCTGGTGAATTGATGAGAATTCCCTATTGCCCAAAAAAAAAAAAAAAAAAGGGAAAATACTCATTTATAACTATTCTGAGAGATAAAGACAGACAGTGGTATGTTTTTCGATTAGCAGCACCCAGGGACTCTTGGCTACAGGGGCCTGCTCCTGAATCAGTGTATTTGTTAAAAGAACAATTCTCTTTCATGCTGCCATTTTACTTTCATTAAAGAATTGCAGTTTCAACCCAATATTAGTAAGTGTCTCCCATTAGTGGCACTGCAGATGAAGGGCATTCAGCATTTCTGTTCTTAATGTCTATTGCTGGCTCAGCTGTTTAAAAATAAATAAAAATTAAGAGAAACAAAGGCTCTGCAAAGTACCTTCTAATACAAAACCAGGGTATACCCTCTTCCATGAGAAAGTTTTAAAATCAAACTCTTGGATTATGGTAAGAGAGAAGTGCAGCTGAGTGGTTCACCTTTCTTTGTCTGCCTTTGCCCAGTTCACTACAAGGATGAAGACAAAGGAAGCACCTGGGTTATCTGGCTCCTCCCAGATTTCTAATGTCATTTCTCCCCTGCCACTTCAGTAGCCTCAGGCCCTTCCTAAGAGGCATTAGACTGAGGTTTCTCCAGGCTGGCTGACTCGGTTGCCCCACTGTATCAGAGAGGTGCCATGCCCTGACCGACAGCTATACCCATCAAGCCATGCTATACTTTCAGTTAGAATCAATGCCTTTTTTTTTTTTTTAAGTCGTGATCTACCTATTGGCAAGAAAAAAATATTTTTAAAATCCCATCATTATTCACCAGCCCCGGCCCATGTTTCAGGGCAGACACACTCAGGAAATTGTCATGACTCTCTAAGTAGAAAGCACCTAACACCTGCCAGGCACTTAGAGCCACTGAAGATCTGCGGACACTTCCTGGCTTGAGGCAGTGTGGCCATATCTCAATATGCATTTCTCCCTTTAAGGAAGTAACCCCTCTGCATCTTCTCTAACTTGGAAAACACTGAAATGCTTCCAAGCAACTATGGGAGGCTCAGCTCCTTCTGCAGTGGCTGCTCAGCCTCTCCAGGCCTGCTGTGGAAGCCTTCGTGGAGAAAAGGAGCAGGATGCCGTGGGCCCACATGTGGCAGTTCAAATGAGGAGTTTGCTCTTAAAAACAGAGCCTGAACTTTCTAAGCCAAATGTACTTAATTGACAGCATCACCTTAGCATACTGATTTCCCAAAATACACACGCTCTCACTTACCCAGAATCCCACAGTCAGCATGGGCTATTTAGGTACAGGGTTTTCTGCACCATTGCAGTTGAATATCTCTAACCCAGAGACAGTAAAGGAGTTTATTTCATTTTCCCCCCACAAACTGTAGACAAATCTTCACTGCCATTTAAGGTAACTTTCTGCTTGTTTAAGAATATTCCAGCTGTGTTTATGGTGTTCCAACATTCCCCTGCCAAAACCCTTGACAAATGGATTGGCAGTATTTTCAGGGATGTTGGCAAGTACAGACTGGATTTAGCTATTAAATTCTCATTTGTTTTTGTCATATCTGATCAGGATACAGGGATAGGCTTTTGACTATTACAACATGTACACAGTACTTGGGAGGCTGAGGCAGGAGGATCACTTGAGCCCAGGAGTTCAAGACCAGCCTGGGCAAGATAGCAAGATGCTATCTCAAGACAACAACAACAAACATGTACACAGAAAAGAATCAGCTTTCACACATTTTGGCTCTGCCCACACAGTACCTAAACATCCAGATGTGTGGGAACTTTCGTGGCATGCCCCCTGGACTCCTGACTGCATTTGCCATCTTGTTCCAAATACAATCTTCCAATCTTACCTCAGTAATGAGGTTTTGCCAGCTATTAAGTAGGTCCTAGTCTATTCCCAGCCTCGCATGCCATAAATGAATGATGTCTGCATGCCAGTTTTAAATGAAGTAACCCAGCATCAGGGGTGGCACATCAGACTGTTAGTTTTTATCCCCCAAGATTATATTGGTAACATATGTTTATGTTACCATGACTGGCTGCATTCAGATCTTTCTTTGGCTGACTAGGAATTTGTAAAGAAGTTTTCCATAGGTTAAAATCTCCTTCATACTACACTAGTTAAGTTATACTTCTTTCACTTGAAGTACAGTGGCTACTACACCTTTTTCAAAGAAGTAACACAGAAAAGCAAGAGGCCGTGGCATTGTTCATGCTTTTAAAAGTACCTGTACTTTTTTTTTTTTTTGTGCAGAGCAAGAATTCATCTAGTTCTCAATTCTCTTGCAGCTGAGAAAAAAGGTGGAACACCTGAGTTAAGATATCCTTTCAATTGAAATGACAAGTGTAATAGATGTGTTCCAAAATCTTCTCTGTGACAGGGCTACGTGCTTTCCTTAGATCTTGTCTGTAGGAGGAAATTACTTTGAGAAACCTTTCCCCAGTCAATCATTTATCTGTCTTAGCAGCAAGAAGGCATCCTCACTGAAATAAGAGGAATGCAGCTCGTTTCATTTCTGTTGGCAATCCCTAACATTCTGAAAGCAGAGATAATAAATAATTGCAAAGGTAAATTGTAGGTTGGCCAAATTTACAGATGATTTTTTTTTTTTGCTACTATATATGTGGAGGTTTTCAGACAGTAATATACATACTATCTTACCAGAATCCCTCCCCACCAAAAAAGAAAGAAGTGTGGCTTCATTATTTTAATACCTGTGTCTTTTTTCCCCCAGCCTTGTTTCTCCGGCATTTTGGTCAGTAGGCAAAGAGCCAATTGCTGAGACATGACATTCAACAGTCTAGAATGGTTAAGGGCTGTCCCTACAAGATTAGAGCCATTGTCCTGTAAAGACCCAGTGAACACCACTGCACCCAGAAGCACATGTTTAGTAGAAGAGAGGGATAGTTAAAACCCAAGTTACTGCTGAACAATGGAAAGCCTTCTGGTTGGTTTGAGAAAAAAAGCCAGCAGCCAGTCTTAATGGTAGGGACTTACGTGATCCTGTGTTAGTCTAAAGCCATAGATTGGAGGCCTAATCCTAAAGCCACCAGTGTGTTTTCACTGGTGTTGAAAACTAACATCTATCCATAGGATTTACCATGACCTCCTGTTTTAGAGAAATAACAGTGGTTAACAAGCTACCATTGCAGGAAACATTTGACTCTGAAGTTGCTTGACTTCATCCAGAGTGACACCGAAAGTGACATTTTTCAACATGCACTCCTACTTTATAAATGACACCGTAATTTTTTTCTCAAGTAATTGAACACAGCACACAGTGCAGAACTTGACAGAAGCCCCTAAGGAGACAGTTTCTCTCACTGCACCACTGCCAATAGAATTAAAAGGTTAAAGAAGTCCTCCGATGTGTCAGATCATTTTTTGGGTGGGGTAAGGATTGCATAATTAGAAGTATCAGTCAGGCTTTTTTTTTTTTTTTTTTTAAGACGGAGTTTTCGCTCTTGTTGCACAGGCTGGAGTGCAGTGGCGCGATCTCGGCTCACCGCAACCTCCGCCTCCTGGGTTCAGGCAATTCTCCTGCCTCAGCCTCCTGAGTAGCTGGGATNCCGCAACCTCCGCCTCCTGGGTTCAGGCAATTCTCCTGCCTCAGCCTCCTGAGTAGCTGGGATTACAGGCATGCGCCACCATGCCCAGCTGATTTTTTGTATTTTTAGTCAGGCTTTTAATTGCAGATTTGTTAGAGGAAAGGGCAGTGATTTGAGTTTCTAGGAACAGGATTTTATTGTTCTATTGGTAATGCTTTTCTTCTGAGGCCTGATAATTGCGGTATCTTTCTCACTAAGTTACTTTAAAAAGATCTGCTTATATGAAATTGTGGCAAATGCATAAACTGTGCCTTATTGATTTTTGTTGACATTTTATATGTTTCTTACACATTTTTAACCTCCATTTGGAAACTGTCAGTTTGGCACATGGTGCTGGATAAGAAAAACCAGTGAAGTGAATGCAGCAATCTTTTTAACTATTAAAAGCAGAATTAGTCCAGGCTCTGCTTGGTTTCAAATCTATCTCCAGTAGATGATTTGCTTTTTCCTCCATTGTAGTTTCAAGATAAGAAGTGCAAAAATAAAAATCTTTTAGTGTTAATTCCTCTGTTAATAATGCCAGAGATGATGAAAATGCTTCTGAAGAGATGTTACTTGGAAACAGATGGCACATTTGGACTGGATCATCTCAGAGCTCAGCATCAGTATGGAAGCCAGTGGAGGTCCTGTCCTCTGTCCCACACTTATATCATCTAGCTGCCTTATAGAAGGCCACTAAATTGCTTTTATGGATGACAGAAGCTGCAGTCAGTCTTAGTACAGGTAGTGTGTTCAAATAGTAAGCTTCATCAGCTGCTGTGCTGTCGGAAAACCACATGAGACAGCTCAGCATTGACCGTGAGCTGGACGTCATTCAGGCTTCTTCAAGCCAGCTTAGCCAAGAAGCGAATGTAAGATGAGTTTCTCATGTACTGAGAGTTTTTTGTATATTAAAAATTATAGCATGATGCAAAAAAAATGCATTGACTTATTTTCATGACTGGATGTCGTTGTGCTTTGGGGTAACCGGCAAGCATTGCTTTCTCTTACTGCTGTTTGATTAAAAGGTGCTACGACAGTATTGACTTGATAATCTCACCAGGTACTCGTGCAGAGCAAAAAGAAGAAAATATATTTTATGGCTTACAAATTGATTTACATAAACCAAACAATCTGCTGGTCATTGGAATGCAGAATGTTCTATTTTGCTTATTGGCCACAGGGGCAACAATCTCGCATTGTTGATGCCAGAATTCTGCTTTTCATGCATTCACTCTGAAATGACAATAGGCTTCAGCCTCTCAGTGTTTAGATTTGCTTCATTTGGAGATCTTTTAAGTAGTAATAGCAATGTTTTGAGGAAATTGAGTGGAACACTAAATTATTCTCTGATACCTAAGTTCAAACTGTGCAAGGCTAAAGAAGCTGAAAATCAATGCACTTTTAAAGTCATTAGAGATCATAAGTGAAATAAGTCTGTGTTGCTTTAGCTAACCTTTTAGTGTGCTGCGGTTTTATTAAAATATCAGCCTGAATCTGCATTAATTTCACAGTCTTTTTCTCTAAGAAGCCCAAGGGTACGTGATGAATAAAATGTAAATTTGAGAAGGCAGTGTTTTTATTAGTGAAAAGGGCAATGAGCCGTGTAGTTGGAACAGTGACCTGCATGGTGGCCAGCGCTGGTACAAGGAGCAGGAACAGGCACTACAGAGTCTAGTCATTTTACAGCACAAGAAAAAACAGGCATGGAAAGTTTCACTGGTCTCCCGGTAGATATTCAGAGAAATGTACATTGTCTTGTGTATGTTAGACTTGAGGTCAAATTTTTGATATGTTTCAGAAATTCGCAAGTCTCAAAAGTCATGAAGATTTTATGCAGATAAATGCCAGTGCACTTTTTTTTACATTTTACTTTATAGCAGGATTGAATATTCTCGGAGTAGTACAGCATTTGTTTTTATTAATAATTAGTAATTACTAAATAGTTTGTAACAGATTTGATATATATGTTTGTATTTGCATAGCAACAATTTATACATATATATTTTTTAAACTACTCAGAAGGTATTAGATACATTTATTTGCTGACATTTTGAGCTCTTAAAATTTATTTGCTAATTTGCTCTTGGTGTGAGGATTTTCTTATTTGTCCCTTTAAAAATCAATGATAAAATTTAAAATGCAAAGCCCTCATGTGTGGATGCCCTCAGTAAAGATCATCAGTCAAGGAGAAAATGGAAAATAGCAACTTTTTATTTTAGAAAATGCAAACTAGATCTTGCCGATTTCAAACCCTGTGGCTAAAAACAGTACCCAACTTCCTCCCCTAGTTTCCATTTAAAAAATAAACTAATAAATAAATACGTCTTTCTGCTTTGGTCAGATTAGCAAGTCAGCACTGTGAATAAAAAGCAAAATAAGATAAAACCAAAGAGAGAAGTTGTTTATTTTTATGTACTACTGAGAACAGTGTCGTCTTGTGGCAGTTCTCGTAGACTGTGTTGGTTTAACAAGCGTCCAACCCTTTTGTCTTGTTGTTTTTTGTCTTTCCTGCTCCCTGTCCCCTTGTTTCCCACAGGCTGTGCGTTTGTCACATTTTCTACAAGGGCAATGGCACAGAATGCAATCAAAGCCATGCATCAGTCTCAGACCATGGAGGTACTGTATCATCTGCCCTTTCTTTGTTTTCTTTGTGCAAATGATGGGGAATGGTAAAGCAATTCTCTCCTGTGTGGATTGTTCACATGACAATCACAGATGTAAACTTTCACCATCTCAGTTTTTATTCATTCATTCTCATTCTCTCTCTCTCTCTCCCCCCCCCCCGCATTTTCCCCCTAATGACTTGAAATGCATTTAGTAAAACCTTCCACTTGCTCTCCAGTTATTTCTTTGAGCCTTTTATTGCAGTGGCACAGGTCCTGAGGTGTAAAATTGTGAGCACTTTAAGCAAACTGTCATTCTAGACCTACAGGATCAAATACGTTCCCCACCCTGGGGTCAGTGTGGATGAAACAGTAACAGCCCCCACCCCAAATTGCTGCTTGCCCTGTGCTGAGTCCCAGGGTTCTTTCTTTTGTACACGGTCAAGTTACCTTTATTCTAGTCAAGCAGCATTGTGTTTTTACATGAAGAATGTTGGAGAAAGTTATTATTTCTCCCACTGCATTTAACAGTGTAAATGCAAATTTGGAAAATAGGATTTGTCTGCTTCCTAAAAAATGAGCAATAATGAAGAAACATAATAAAGGCTCAAATGTGGTCTCCTCATGAGAGATCATGGCTTTAGGGGAAGGTGACTACCCGGGTGTGGCTGTACACCCACAAACATAGCTAGATGGCTCTATACTTTTAGTCTGTGATTTGGGTCATGGCCTTTCAGAATTTTGCACAAAAGCATTCCAAGAGTGATATGCCGTTACTTCTGTATTGTCTGATAGAATCATTTGGGAGTGCATGTTCTGCTGTATTATGTATACTGTATCTTTGTGTATGGGTGATCTTTTCTGGAGGTGGCCTTGTGGTGTTATCTGAAGCTATGTTTTTATATTTTGAAAAAATATATTTTCAATTTTATTTAATATGCAGAAAACTTTTTTCTTGATTGAGCTTCTGTTTTACCCCTGTTTTGTTGGGGTTTTATTTTTTGTTTGTTTGTTTTTGTTTGTTTTTTGCAATGCTGCATCTCCCAAAGCATGCTGGGAGCCAAGTGATCAGTATGCGTCATGTTTTGTGGGCAACTTTTTTTATAGTGAATCGAAAGGTGGGTGCAAAGGGGGGAAGGAGTGTGCATGGCATTGTCATTCAGTGTTGACTGTACTTTTCTGACTTGTGATACCAGCATTGCAAAGCCTATTGTCTTTTTCAAACATTCATCTTGACTTTGATATTCCTAACATATCTTATATAATCAATGTGTTTTCCTTGCAGTGCAATGCATTTTTAAGACACTCACAATCCCCTACCTGAAGGCAAACTCAGGTGAAAATCGGGCACGATAGGAGATAATGAGCAGGATTTGGAATGTCTAGGAAGCTAATTTTGTCTGACATGCAGTTACACATGTGATGGTGTTTTGCTTCCCTCTTTCTCTTACTGAGGCTGTTCCATTCCTGTGGATTAGCCTGATTTCCAGCCACATTTTAATCTTCAATTCAATTTGAAGATTAAAATGGAAATGCCATCGGGGCAAAAAAAAAAAAAAAAGTCTTGTATTTATCTTCCATATATGCAGTCATTCTTATTTTTATTTCTTGTAATTTAGTGATTTGTACCCAAATTGGCCTCACCTGAGATAAATTTTTTTAACTTCAATTCTTTCACCTCTGTTAGAAACGTTGCCATCCCCATTGCTTCCCGTGGAGCCCCCCAGTAATGCTCACGGAGCCATGGAGAACCCGTGGGAGATCACGTTCCGTGTGTTCCCGTAGAAGGAGTACTCGGGATCATAAAGCAGAACTGGGCATGAGCGAGGCTGAGAAACAGTAGGCTCCCATAATGGAAAGAGTTTGTTAGAGCACTGGGGCATGTTTGTTCTTAAGCCCTTCATCTTTTATTATTATTAATGTCTGTGTTACTTAAAAACCAAATTCGGTATACTTGTTTTTAAAACTGGACATCCATGCTTACACAGAGGGACCCTCTGACACTTAAATTTCTTTTTTAGTTTTTTCTTTTAATTGACATTTAAATGGATATGTATTACACAGTCATAATTGTTGGACTAACATTGTTTATTTTTTAACTAATTACATTATTTCCAGGATTCTGGCATACGTCTTTAAACAAGATGTATTACTTAATTCACAATGATGTGAATGTTGAAAGAACAAGGTCTTACAATTTTATATTGTGCCTTCTATTTCTCCACTTGCCTTTATTCTCTCTCTTCCCTATTTTTCATGGTTTAAGTAAATCATTTTTAAGCTATAATCATAGGCCTAATTTTCTACTTTTGTATCATTTTTTAGTCTTTAAGGAAGATGTTCTATTAGGAGAAATGCTATAATTTGTTACGGAACAAATTTGATGGGACAATAACAACCCTCTTCCATGCAAAACCCCTTCTCTACATAATTTTAAAAGTATGTTGCTCTCTTTAAAGTGATAAAGTACTGAAACATGGAGCAGATACAGAAAAATGAATTACAGAATTTTTTAAATGATGGAAATAGGATTTTTGTGCAGTTTACTAACATTTAACATTCTGTACCATAACTCTGCCTACCAGAGCTGAAGACCAATAGGCTGGAAGCTGAACACTGAAATACTCATCTCATTTTTCTCACGATTTTTTATTAGCAGACATGATATCCTCGTATATTCAGAACTGCATCCCCAGTAACTACCCAAGGTGATAAGGGAAAAAAATGCGTTTGTTTTCCAGAAAAAAGAAACATGACCCAAAGGGAATGGAACAGAGAAGCTCATTTAAATAGGAATATAACATTCTGAGAGGAGAGAGAGAGAGGTCTATTATCATGCTGAGCTTCAATAAAAGTTTTTCTTTTAATCACTTGGGTAGAATTACTTCTTTATACCTCAGCAAAACTGAACAGCTTTAACTGTGATGAAATGTGTAGGCAAGCCACACGAAGGAGGAGAAGAGGCTAGGGAAGGAGGGGAGACTGCTGCTGAGTTATTTAGCAAGTGGCGAGTGTTGGAAAGGTGCTTTGGAAAGGAGGTCTTCGCGCTTGAGGTGTCAGGCTATTATCTTCCCTGATGATTTTATCTAGCTCAAAAGTGAATTCTGTGACCTTTGGCCATTTCTTTCTCACTACCACCTACCCCTTGCCTTTTAAAGGAAATCAAAACTGAAAGAAGCTGCTAGAATGGGGAGGTTCATTAGGGAAAGAAGCCCATGGACTCCTCCGTCTGCCATTCACAGTCTATCTCCTTTGGCTAGAACGTGCTTCTGGTTTTTGAGTTTGCACCAGCTCCCGGGATGACGGGTAGCACAGGTGTGCTGAGGGAAGAGGCCTCTCTGAAAACCTGAATGGTTACTCTGGAGAATGCCTGTCTTCTCTGGATATCTCCTGCCCTCATCCACAGAGCTAAAATGAAGCCCTTCTCCCTATTATTGCTGGGTCAATAGGATTTTCACAATCACAAAGTTCACAGGTACATAACTGAAAATTGGAAAGAGTAAAAAGATGAATGAATGAGAGATATGGCCATTCCCATTACAAATTCTCCCCTTTGTCCTCTGTCCACCAATGAACATGGGCAGACACACAAAGCCAAGTCTGTCTTTAAGACGACAAAACCATGAAGCTCCATTAAGGAACCTCGGTAAGGGCTAGTGTCTGTAAGGAGGTCCTGCAAGGTTGAAGGAAGACACAGGAAGAGAGGAGAGGCCATTACTAATCAGAGCAAGAAAGCTGGTGACTTTACCCATCACCAGATCCCTCAAAGAAACCACTGGCAATGTCTGGATTTTTCTGTTGATGGTACTATTCAGAGAAGAAGGAGGAATATCAAACCATTTTAAACCATTTCAGCCCATTCCATGTGCTCCAGGCTAGTGCAGAAAGGTAGCTCCGGTGCTGAGTGTCGTGAGTGGATTCCGCCAGCCTGTAACCCCCTCTCCACTTTCCAATGTGTCTGACCACAGGGCTGCTCTTCACCTATCGTGGTGAAGTTTGCTGACACTCAGAAGGACAAAGAGCAAAGGCGCCTCCAGCAGCAGCTCGCTCAGCAGATGCAGCAGCTCAACACTGCCACCTGGGGGAACCTGACGGGGCTGGGCGGACTCACCCCGCAGTATCTGGCGGTAAGTGTTGGGCAGTGCCGGCAAGGTCCTCACCCGCTGAAACTCTGCAAACTGACTTTTTCCCTCCCTATGCTGAGGCATTCTTTTTCATTACATTTTCAGTCTTGGGGAATTACTGAAATCAGCATTTATGCAGGATATTTTTCCAAGTTAAATTGATTCAATTAAGAACAGGAATAATTGGATTCCTGCCTGATGTAGACTGGGCAAAGTCCCACAGGCTAAACTTCTAACCAGTGTTTGAAAGGCACCCCAACACCCTGAGTCAGAAGACATGCCGCTGATGATTAAGGATAGGGAGGCTGCTGGGTTCATCCATGTCAGGTCGGTGTCGGCCCCAGCAGGACCTCCAGTGAAATCTCCCGGGACTTCTAGTCCACTGTCCTGGCTCTTCGAGGTGGAACCTATTGGTGAAATCAAGTGTTTCTTACTTTGTTTATTTGAAACCAACAAAATTCTATTCTATTTCAAGCCCAGCAGATGCAGTTCCTTCAGCCATTCCTTACATCTCATGGTATCTGAATTTGAGCTTTCTGGCTGGTCATGATTTCTTCATGCTCCTTGTTTCACTTTGTCGGTATCTTTATTGAAATACAGTGACCAGAATTTAAGACAGTCCCCCCAGCAAGATCTGAACAGAACGCAGTAGTAACCCCTAGTGTGGACTTAGGGCCTCTGACTGGAGCTTGAGACTGGGATTTGTAGTAACCAGGGCAGATGTGGGCTGGAAGGCAGCCAGTACTCTAAAGATTTTATCTTTACTATAATTCCTGCTGAATCATGCTCTTCTACCCCATTTTTCTGCTTTGGAACATAAGTGCTAGACTTCACATGTATGAATATGTTTTCATATTGTGGGTTTGGGCCTTTGATTCCAGCCTCTGAGGGTGTGTGTGTACACCCCACAGGTCTTGGGTCCTAATTCTGTCATTTTACATTTTAACTATCCCTCTTGGGATGCTATCACCCATTAGCTTACTTTGTAGCAGAAGCTGTGCTGTTTTGTCAAATGATCTTCCCTATTACATTGGAAGGTGAGATTATCCTGCTTATGGGGCAGATGAGGAAAGGGAGACTCAAAGAAGCTAAGTAACTTAACCCAGAATCAACCAGCTTCTTGTGGCCCATGAGACTTCAGCCCTGCATGTCCTGCCAGCTGGCCATACGGCCTCTTTGAGGACTCTGGGTGCTGCTGTGGCTCACTTTCATCTTTTTAGCTGCTCCACCCTCAGTGCCCAGTGGGGTCTGGTACATAATAGCTCTTCAATATATATTTGATTAATGAATGAGAAGCATCCTTTTCCTGTCTTCCTCTGTGCTCTTAGCAAAAGCATTGGCTCAGCTTGCCATCACTTTCACTCCATTTCTATACCTTTTCATGAAGATACCATGAGAGATTTTGTCAGCTGTCTTGCTGAAATCTATATTTGCTCTGCCATTGTTTTCTTATCAGTCTAAAAATTGCTTTAAAAAAATAAGCCTAGCTTGACTGTGATTTTTTTTTCCACAAATGTGAGCTGTTCAGTTGTGCACAGGCACTTGGTTTAATTATATGCACCAGAATTTTTGTCCGAGGCTGACATCATACGCACCTTCCCATACTCTCTAAGAGTCCGGCTTCCCATCCACCATTTCTGAAAATTGAGACACGTGAACACTCTTGTCTTCTAGCACATCTCCTATGCCCCACAGCTCACAGAAGTCTCAGGCACATGTTTTGGGGACCATATCTGCAAATTACTTCTGTACATGAAGGACAGTAAATCTCAGCCTCCTTTATAGAAACATGTTGTTAAATGCTCTCACTGCATTTCCCTCTGCTGTGGGTGATTCTTTCTTGGCCATGTTTGTTCTACTCCCTTTCAGTTGAAAAGCCCTTTCTCTGAAGGAGCCCTCAGTTGCCTTGAGTGATAGGTTCTGACCCTGGCTCACCAGAGGTTGGTTATCCATGGCAATAATACTGGGTGGTGGTTTAATGACACTCTGGTGTTTCCACTTACCTCCATAGCTGTTGTTAACTCCTCAAAGTATCTTCACAGCTAGCTTAATTTTAAAAATTTAAAAACATTGAATATGAGGAGGAAGTTGGAGTTGATAAGCCTAAGAGAATGCAAACACAACAAATCTAACCAAATAAGGCCTTGCTACTACAATGGACAGTCCCTAGCTTTTCCCACTGTGTCTTCCTCACTCTCTTCCTCTTTCTGTGTGTATAAGAGTATGTGTGTGGGCAAGGAATCAGAGGGATGAGTGAACACAGACTTTGTTTGGTTTTAGTACCTGTTAGTGTGAAGTCCCATAATATTGTACCTGAGGCTTAGGTTGAATCAGCCGAGGGTTCCCAACCCCTGGGCCGGGTTCTAGTACCCATCCATGGCCTGCTAGGAACAGGGCTGTACAGCAGGAGGGAAGGGGAGGCGAGTGAGCATTACTGCCTAAGCCCCACCTCCTGTCAGATCAGCAGCAGCAGGAGATGCTTGTAGGAGCACGAACCTGCTGTATACTGTGCATGGCGAGGGATCTGGGTTGCTTGCTCCTTGTCAGAATCTAATGCCCGATGACCTAAGGTAGAACAGTTTCATCTCGAAACCTTCCCGCAACCCCTGTCTGTGGAAAAACTGTCTTCCACAAAACTGGTCCCTGGTGCCAAAAAAGTTGGGGACTGCTGGAATCCGCCACTGATAATTCTACACTGCTTGGTGCTTTTACCTCACTTGAGATCTATTTTTGAGTCATATCCATGTGTAGAGTTTTTCATATCAAACTGGAAAGACCTGGACTTCCCCAGAGGAACAGTGTTCCAGATTGTTTCACAGAGCCCCAAATAAATTCTGAAAGCTTCCCCCCGCCCCCCGAGACGAAGTCTTGCTCTGGCGCCCAGGTTGGAGTGCAGGGGCACCACTTCTGCTCAGTGCAGCCTTCGTCTTCCAGGCTCAAACAACTTCTCATGCCTCAGCCTTCTGAAAAGCTGGGATTACAGGCATGTGCCACCACACCCAGCTAATTTTAGTAGAGATGGGGGTTTTGCCATGTTGTCCAGACTGGTCTTGAACTCCTAACCTCCAGTGATCCACCTGCCTTGGCCTGCCAAAGTGCTGGGATTACAGATGGGAGCCACCACACCTGGCTCTGAAAGCTATTTCTAAAATAGTGAATTAATCTTGTTCCTCCTAGCACGTAGTATGACAACAGTATTTCAACAATAAATGTGACAAATCTGTGTTTCTGGTATCCATGTACAGTTGAATACAGGAGACAGCTGTATGTTTTTGTATTGATCTACCTTACTAAAAAGAATAGCAGTAAGCAGAGCCCAGCGCTCCGTATTTCACCTCAGTTAACCTGCAGTTCAGCTGCGTTGGACAAGTGCAGCTGCACTCCGGGGGCTCCAGGCCTTTCTCTCGTGGCAGCCATTCATTCTGCATGGCAGGAAAAATGGATCCCTGAAAGCACTAGTGGAAAACAGACTTTCTCACAAGTAGTTTAATTTTTTTGAAGATTGACATTAACAATGCGTGACTTCGACGTATATAGCACCAGACAATTCTCAGTTTTGACAAGCTGTATGTTTCTCTCTGCAGTGAAGACTTTTAAAACGGCTGCCCATTTGCGTGGTCATACAGTGGGGGCTGCAGCTGTACGGCTGTGAATAGACGCATTCATGTTAGTAGTTACCATGATGATCTTTATGTTGGCACCAGAGTCAGTGATTCCATGTGCTTCTGATGAAGGGTGAAGAAAGCTGAACAGTGCTGGAAAGTAGAAGAGAGGGAGGGAATGGACCCTGATTGACAGAGATGAGTTATGGTAACTGCTAGACTACAGAGAGAAATAATTAGTCATGCTATGTTGGTTTCAATAGATTTAACACCTGGTTGTTAAAAAGAGTAAATTGATTAATTGTTTTAAGGCAGCAGTGTTAGTGAGTTTCCCCAGTGTCTGTGTTTCTGAATAGAGATTAGACATGAATATGGATTTACAGCCCCAGCTCTGGGACCTTCAGCCCATCAGTAGGCAGGAGCAACCAACTCTGTAAATGCAAAGTAAACCGAATTTTTCCCCAATTTAATGAGGAAGTTACTTTGCTCTCACCTTCTCCACCTTGCCCTGACTTTGCACTTGTGTGTTCATCCGCAGCTCCTGCAGCAGGCCACCTCCTCCAGCAACCTGGGTGCGTTCAGTGGCATTCAACAAATGGCAGGTAAGTCAGGAAGCACACCTCTCCTTTGACTATGCCATTGTCAGAATTTGGGGTTGGTTCTCAGGGCAAAGAGAAGCAGTGGGGGAAGAGAACCAAGAGTGATCATCAAACTTGTTAGCTTTCTGTCTTAGGTGTTAACATTGGAACCTCCTGCTCTCAACTGTCGCTGCTACCTCTTAGGTTACCTCCCACCTTCCCTATGCATGACAGCTGTAGAATGAAGGAGATGAGAAATCCTGCTTGGCATCTATATCAACATATGACTGGATCAACAAATGACTTTCTAGTCATTTGTTGTTTTTATAAATAAGATTGATTACTGGGGGCTTTCCAGCCAGATTCCTATATCCAGAGCAGCCAAATGATTGACTCTCCTCTAAAATCTGAATAATAGTCAGTAAAGATGTTCTGACCTCCATAATGAAAGCCGGGATTGCAGGCCTATCTTTGATGCAGTTTGCAGCCCCTTGATAATGACAGACAATTAACAGGGCGCCTTTTTTACTGTAGTGCCCCAGTTGACAGAATTGTGCATCAGAAGCTTTTATGTGAAAGTATAATCTTTGTTCTCGAAAAAATCAAAGTGTGACTGTGTTTGAAAGCCAGCTCGTTGAAGGATTCCTTCTTCTAATGAGCTGCGCCAGTAGTAACTGAGGTGCAGTGATTAGCGAAAGGTCACTCCTGCCGAGCCACCTTCCGTGCTGATTTCCCTACCTAACACAGGGCCAGGGAAGGCAGCAGGCGCAATAAATCAGAACACAGGTGCCCATTAACCTGTCATGAGGAACGGTCAGAGAGCCTTTTCCTTGTTTGATTCCAAAAAGGTGGGGGAAGAGGGCAAGGAGAAGAACGGGTTTTTGGCATATTAGAACCAAGCATGGTTTGTTTTAATCAAGGACACCCTGATTCAGTGCGGTGAAACCTTCATGTGCACAATGAAGCTTGCTTTTTTGTCACCATGAAAATTCCTTTTTTCCACATTTCTGTTTGTGTGTGTGTTTGTTTGTTTTTTAATATGTATCCTTGGGGTTTTTGGTTTTTGGTTTTTGTGTTTTTTGTTTGTTTCACTTTGAATGAATCTGGAAAAACTTTCAAGGGGGCTTCTCCCTGGGTGTGTTACGTGATTGGCAGCCCAGCCGTTGTGGCCAGAGGGCCCTGGAAACTCATCAGCTGACAGCCTTCCTTGGCCTGCAATAAAAATACTTCTGAAATCTTCGTTGGGCTTTAAATCCGTTGGCACTGCCACGTGGTTTTGTTGTGACATACCTTCTGGATTATTAGAAATGATATAACTTGAAATGATAAATAGCTAAATCATTCAGCAGCATCTTTACTTACACAGTTTGGGAAGCTGGCCTTGGAGCTAAGAATCACATTGAATGGTTAATTTACTTTTAATTCTATGAAAGGAACTAGAGAGAGGTAAGTAAAATATTCAGGGGATGTTTTGTGTTTAAAAGAGAAAACCTCCTGATTGCAAGCTCTAAAATAAATGCTAAGATTTGTCACACTTTCAGCCCATGGGAGATTTGCTTTTCTTCTAACACTATGGACCCACCGGGATCGAAATTAGGGGCTTTCCTTAGAGGAGGCCTCAGGCTTTCCCACTCCCACAGCTGAATTATGCAGAGCAGGTCACTGGGTCCCAAGGCTGCTACCGAGCGTGGCGTCCGGGGTGGACAGCGTGCCCTGTCACCTTTCATTAGGGTGGATGTGCCTGTGCCGCACCAGCCGCAGGTCAGGATGCCAGTGCCTGTGCACTCTTCGTGCTCATTTGAAAACTCAAGGTATCTTGGATCACCTTACAAGGTGCCGAGGAGCAGATGGCTAATTTAAAGGCAATCTGTATGTGCTCTGAGCCTCCCAAATTATCCATTTCTTGAATCCTGAATGTGTAAAATTGAGCACACTAAGTCCACACAGGCTAGGAAATCAAATGCTGGACAGGCCACTCTCGGCCATCATTTGGAGTATTCCGAGTCTTCAAGGTGTAGCTGTCAGGCTCTGTAAAGGATACCTTGCATTTATAGTGATCATCAGGTCTCATCTTCATGCATATTTAAAGTATTACGGTTTGGAGTATTTTTTCCACCAGTGAAGGAAAGTTTATATGGCCTCTCTGTTCTTGCCATGAATCTGCACCGGTGTTACACAGTGATCATGGTGGATGGGTGATGGAGGTTTCTTCCTAAGAGAAGCTTTCTCAGCTTCCCCAGATGTGAGAGGGGCACCTCTCTTCCACGTTCCCCAGAGCCCCTTCCTTCCTTGCCTACCTCTGCGCTCACCTTCCTGGATACTCCCTACTCTTTGACTCTTCAGTGTTCCAGGAGGGCATAGCCTGGTGGCTGTCAGACTCAGCCCTCTCTCCTCTAAGAGCTGCTCATGAGTATTCTTGAGTGGATGAGTGAATAGATATGTCACTCAACAGACATAAATCCCCTGTGGAGCTTAAGTTAAATACCCAGTTTTTGAATTAAGAAATTTGTCTTCAGCAATATGTATAAACCAAAAGAACATTAAACTAATGACAGTATCTTTACAAATGAGTTATTGGGGATTTGGAGATAGTTTGTGTAACATAAAATGTAACAAATACAATAGAAAGTATGATAGTGGGATTGAAGAAACCCAAGAGGTGATTTATCCCAAACACCACCTGACGTTACAATGCTTATTGGGTGATTGATACTGTGTCCTACTTAGAGTGAGCACATAAACAATTCAGATGTAATTTTTCTGTATTACATTTATATATATATATATATATATATATATATATATATATATATATATATATATATATGTATGTATACGTGTGTGTGTGTGTGTGTGTGTATGACGATCTCTGCATCTAAAATTCAAGTGGTGCAGCCTGGAATACTATCGCCAAAAGTGAAAAATCATTTCAGAAATGAATAATATTTTGTTGTGAACAACTCTCAAAACATACTGGTCTGTCCTTCAGGATATGAGGTTTATAACTAGAGTTTAAAATGCCACATATATATGGATAAAACATTTTCAGTTTCAGGAGAAAATAAAGTAAAACCAAATAGGAAAAATAGACATTTTAGACGACTGGTTACTAAGTAATTGCATCTATAAAATTGAATGAGACATCAGCTATGCTTTCTTTCCCAAAAACTCTTAACCATTTTTCCCTCAAACTAAAAATAACTTCAGGTGTGCTTTATGGTGTTTATAAAAGAAGACCTTTAGTAAATATGGAATTTAGAAGCAGAAAGTGGATTAGGAGCATACCTTTATAAACTGAAGGCTTTTATATCTACTTTTTGTGCCTCCTTGAAGTTGGTTGGTTTTATTTTCCCTCTTAAAACTTCTAATAAAAACTTGTCCATTTCTCACTCAGCTGTGATATTTGTTCAGTGAATTTCTGAAATCTCAGAAACTTGGGGTCTGAGTTTGGGCTAAGAGCTGGGATTTTTCTTAGAAAGGGAATAAGAGAAAGTGTCTTCTCTGCCTTTCGTTTGTTTATAACAACTATCAACTCAAAAGAGCATCATAATAGAAAAACTACAGGTAGTGTTTTGCCTGTTTGTTTTTAGCAAAGCTTCTTTTAAAAAGCATGCAGTTATCATAGCAAGCTAAGGACATGACTATCACTTTGTTACTACATTGCAATTGAAAAAGGGGAAGATGAAAAGGTTAAATGAGTAATGTGACCACAGCACTAGTCAGTGACCTCACAACGAGCAGGATACAGAATTCCCAAATAACACAACTTGATGATGTAGGGACTCTAAGTAGCCCATAGCACAGACGGACAACTGAGGCTTAGATGGGTTAGCAGACTTGTCCTTAGGCACTAAGCTAGTAAGTGGCAGAACCAAGCTTCAGATCCGCTCACTGATGCAAACCCTGAGCTGTAGGCCGCCCCCAGGGTAGCAAACTGTGCTGTCTCAGCCCCTTCAGGTGTGTTTGTGTAAACACAGCTGCAGTGCCTCGTGGTCTCACGACCCCGCACTGTTAGAGAGGAAGCACTTCAGGGATGGTAACAGGAAAGGAAAGCTGCCTCCCTTCATCCTGAAAAACATCTTGAGTTTATCACGAGTTAGTTTTTCTTTGTTAGAGGGGATTTTTTTTTTCTAGGCTAAGGAATTGTTACTACACTGGTTACAGAGGTTCTAAAGCTGCGGCGGAAGTGTCTTTTGATGAACTGGAGGAAACAGCTTCGTTGTCATTCTGATTCTGAGTAAAGCAAGTAGTATAGTCCCTTCCAGAATATCTGGTCTAAGTTTTGAAGGTAACAATAAAATTGTAGAGTGCAAATATCTGCTTAAAACCCTGAAGCAGCTCTCCTTTGATCAATTTGAGATCTGTTCTCTTAGAAGAGTGTCTTGGCGTCTGGCACAAGTGGAGAGGAGGGAAGACACTTGCAAAAACAGTGTATCGGAGGTTTGAGAATCTGGAATTGGAGGTGCTCCCGGAGTTGTAAAGTGTGCTGGCTACATCCACAGAGACCCGCGCAGAACTTGGTTCCTCCCCAAGCTGAGCCTCCAGTAGTCTGCACTGCAGACACTTCCTGCAAATGTGCTAATAGGCCTTATGAGAACGTTCTATAACCACCCATCTGTCACTTTTTAACAGACCTGATTGGCAAGCACTTGTAACAACTGACATCTGTTCATGCTTATTGATATGCAGATTTATGGTAATTGCTATGAACAATAAGACACAAAATTACCTAAGGTGAACATTAAATTAAATTTTCATGCCCTTCTCCTTATAAATAATTTTTTTTAATGTTAAGTTTCAAGTAGGCATATTGTGCATCTGTTTTGTACATAATTTCTTTGTCTTGAGAAGGATTTTTTCCCCAAGTACTGAATGAAAAGTTGAATCCCTGTATTCCCGACTTTATTTGCCATCTTGATAGCCCATTGTTAGAGTTACTAAAACTTATTTAAATGTGTTCCGTGTTCAGTCACCCAGATTATTGCCCCTGGTTCGAGAGGTGCCCATCTGAGCATTAACTTCAT